ACAATTATTGAATAATTAGAGTGCGCGAACAAGCATATGAGAAAGGCACAACACAGGCCTAACGTAAGAAGAAGAAGTATTAATATCTAAGATCTTGACAATTTTATTTAAAATATTATAGAATAAAGAGAGAGATTCTAAATAAAAATAGACTCAGAGCAATTTCGGAATAAAAATAGACTCGGAGCCATTAAATTTTCAATGTCGACTATTGAAAAGAGTTAAAAAGGAATCGTTTCGAAAGACATAAGATTGCAAATATCGAGTATATACCTGGATATCGATAGGGTAATATAAATCCCATGGCTCATCGTAGGCGGCGTGACGCGGGTAGGATGGAGGAGGTGGAAGGCACGGCATTACCATGGCTGAACCCCTTCGTTCCAGATAACTGCTTCCAGTGCTGCTACAGGTGACCGAGCTACATCTTCTGTGATCGACCGGGGGAGCCAACCTCGGTTGCCTGATTGGTGGTGCCAGCAAAGAGTCGTATCCACCGACTGAGGCGAAGCGAGGTGCCACCACGGGTGAATGAGACTGGTCCATCTGACGTAAAATATTTCTATCAATTACAAATGCTCGACGAACGGACAAATTATCAATTAAAAGCCACTCTGTGAACTAGAGAGCACTCTCTGAACGCCACTCTGTAAACTAGAGAGCACTTTCTGAAAATGGCATGGCATCAGTCCAAAATTTTTACGTTCTGTCGAAAAAGTGTAAAACTTTACTACTTGAAAACTGTACGATCCAATCAATAGTGATGTTTCAATATATAAATCTTCTCGACGATTTTTTTAGTTACGATATATCTGTTATTAAATAAAAATTGTTATAATTCGGTAAGGAATATCGATATCTTTACTACTTTTTTTTTTGTAATTTTAGAGATTAAAGAAAAAAAAAAACATAAATTTCGAAAGAATGAAAAATTCATTTAATTTTTCAGTCAAAAGTAGAATGATTTTGTTAATATTTTAACTCTAATGATACATTTTACTTTTAGAAGAATGTATTTCATTTTAGAGTTGTGTGTAAGTATATTTGTGAATGATTTTAATAAAATTATTTAAACTGCCATGAGATATACCTCGACGCATAATGATCTTCTCGGACCACGACCCAGCCTAGGTGGTAACCTGGCGATCGCTTCGAGAGCAGCGGCGAGGGCGCGTTCCTCAGCTTCAGCTTCCGCGACCGCCGCTGCTGCCGCTGCAGTCAAAGTTGGATCTTCCAGTTGTTTACTCGCTTTGCATCTGACAAATATATCAACCGTATTTTAATGACGACGCAAATACTCGTTTAAACATTCTTAAAATTACCTGCTCTTGTAAACTACCAGCAACACCATTAAGCTGAAAAAGCCACCAAGGGTCGCGGCGATCCGTACCCCCGTCATGACATCGTACGTTTTGTAAAATTCGATTTTGACCTGTTCACGTTCGCTTAGTGTCGGAGTTGCGTCTGGCAGGAACGTCGTTGGATCTGTCGTCGTCGTCCCTGTCACGTTGCTGCCGACACTCCCCATTCCTACGAATCAAACAAATTCCCTGTCGTTAAACGCGCGCAAAGAAAGAGAAAGAGAAATATATATATATAGGTTTGCGGATTTGAGCTGAATGCTGATACTCTGCAAATTGTGTTTGAGTTGAATGCGAGATGTCTATAAATTGTTTGCAAACATTGTCAAAAAGATAATAAGTCTTGAAACTTGTAAGAGGCTTTCTGTAAAACGGGCTGTAAATACGCGTTTATTATCAAGAATAAAATATATAAACATAAAAGATAGAATTTGTTTATTAATCTAACTTAATTTACCGATTTAATTGTAAATCTAATAGCGGTGACACAATTTCTATAATAAAAAAAGAACAAAACGGAAAGGAAGAACAATCACATTTGAAGGAACTAAACTACTTGTAAGTATTTCAGGGAGAGGAAAGTGCATAAGCTATAAATCACATCGAGAGCATTTGTTTACCGAACTGTGTCGGCCAACGTGTGCTGACTGGGCTCGAAAATGGAGTGACGGCGCTGAATTTCCTGGAACAGAATGAAGGCGCGCCGTCAAAAGAGGAGCTGGCATTCATCCGGCAGGGTTTTGCATTATCATGAAAGTACGAGAACAAAAAAGAGAGAAAATACTAGGCAAAGAAAATCGGCGTAAATAAGAGTGGAGACGCATGCGGAGGATTTAATAGTGGAAAGGGTGAAAAGAGGGGTTTAAAGAGGAACACACACAAGAAGAGGGTCACAATCATTGAGCAACAGTATCGCGACGGAGAAAATGAGAGGTACGAGGTATATACACATTGCTCTCGGGCTTGGCCGGTTAGCATTGTGTAAGTAGAAATGGTTGTAGGTTCACGTATTGATTCCACCTTTGCCAGCCTACCTCCTGGTTAGGAGCAACGAAGCGTACAACGACAATCAATCAAGACCAAAATTTGTTCTAGAATGTTGTTATTCGTTTTGTTGTTAAGCTTTTCAGAGCTTTGGATTACGAGGATCAAAAGCTGGACGTTTTGCCAAAATCGAAAAAAAATGAAAAAAAAAAAAAAACTCTTATCTTTGAAATATAATTGATTCTGCCATTATTGAGACGCTAGTATATTGTTGATGCTAATATATTATTGAGACGCTAATACATTGTTGAGAAAGCTGGATTGTTAAGAAAGCTGGACAGCAATTTCTACAATTGACAAAACTCTTTACTACAATTATTTCCAATTTTTACGATCACAGATGAGTCACAGACGATCAAGACAAGATTCTAAAGGGGATCGTAAGAGACGATTTTAATGTGTTGTATATAAGCTCAGTAATTTTAATATTTCGAGAAAGTAAATAGCGACCGACATCTGTATACATAGTATAGAGTAAATAAAAAATACGAAATAAATAAATTTTTCAAACGTTAGTCTAATATCACTGCCTGAGCTTAGAAAATATTAGCGATAGAACTGTACATCAATTAGGTATTGGTCAATTTTGCAACACAATTATCTCATAAAACTATTTGTTCTCTCATATTTTTACATCAATATTAAGAAAAATTTATAAATTATTTACAATTATAAAATATTTTTATACATGAGAAATTGATATTACAAGAAATATTAAAGGACATTCGAGTTTTGTGAAAAGCTTATTTCGTTGGTACGTTTCAAACTCGTACGACAGTATTGAACTGACAATCTGTTTGATGACCGAAAAATTTTCTATTTATTTGCTGAATCCAATATTTCAGATTACTGGGAGAAATATCAGGTTTTTACATTTCACTGAGCATTTTGCTTTGACGGAATTTAACAAGCATCTTTGTTTAGAAAGAAGCTAATGATTTAATAAAAGGATAACAATTTAATAGAAGATATATCGCCCTTGAAATTTCCTCGTCTTCTCTCCATTGATTCAATGTCCTTAATCACTTGGGTTAGGTCAGATTAGGTCACACGACAACCTGTGGATGCTCCACGTTCGAGAAGGTTGTTCCATGTGCTCTCACCAGCCGTACCCCGTAAAATTAACGGCGCGGTAAATCCCCCAGAGGGTTTCCACCTACAGAATTCTCACCACGTAACGAGAGCTATTTACTGTTTTGCGTATAGGACAATAGAAGGGAAAAATTACGCAACAACGTGGAATTATCATAAAGATATTATTTCCATTAAAATTTTCTAGAATTAGCTCGCGCGCTTACACACGCACACTTCCTTTCAGTCTTTCTCTCCATTGCTGCTTAATATTTCAATTAAAATATTTCAACAAGTCACTTTCTAACTCTTCAAAATAACATGTAAAATCATTAATATTGTCTTTTATTAGAAAATGTCAAGAAAGATCATATGTGTGTTAATATTAATATTTTCAATCTTTTTTATTAGATATTTTGGTAACTCATTCTTAAAATGTAAATCTATTCCTTGATAAATATTTCAATTCTCAAGAACTACTTGAAAGAAGTGCTTAATATTAAAACTTGATGAATAATCTTCTTTGATATTTTTTTTTATTACCGAGAAAAATTGACATAAAAGTGAAACCTGTCGAGAGCCACTCGTTAAGTCATTCATAACATGAAAGAACAAGATGAAAATGGAATAGCACTTCATTGTGGATTTATCTTTTGAAGAACCTATGTATTTTTTATCATTTTGTAATTAATTTCTGAAAGAACATTCGTGGAATTTACGTGCCGCAGATTCGCGTAGTGTAACCTTTTCATAATTCACGCATTTTAATTTTTAATCCGGCAGGCAAAGCTATTTTCCGAGTAACTCTCGTAATGCTACGGCGTGCACGTAGGAACGCGAATCAGCATTACATCATATCTTCAACCCAACTGCATCGGCAGTTCGTGCATAACAAGCGATTGAGCATATCCGACTTACGCGTTGCCCGTTATGCGTTCTAACGATCGCGCCGTGCGGCTTACATATAACACCACCGATGAAATTTTGAAGGGGATTAGCGAAGTAAATTCTGCTGCGCGCATGTGCTATTACGCGGCATTAAATTTGCGTACAATGCAGCCTGAGAGTCTGCCGGAATAGAGAAGGTATAATATTAGACGGGCGTAGTATAATCAAACGGCTGCGTTCCGGTGAAGTCAAACATACAGATCGGTCTTCGTTCTTTGGCAACGTTTGCTCAAAGGAAGTAGAGTAATCTGTGCTTTTCGTACCTTACCTTGTCTTTTCGTGTTAACGACAGCTAAAGCGAATCAGCCTATAAACAATCGAGGATCATTTTACCTCCTTTTCATCGTAATTCAACGCAATTATTCAGTTTATTCAGTGAGACAGAGATATCTCTAAAGAATTCTATACGTATTCTGTCATCTAATTGTACTGAAAAATTAAATGTTATGATAAACTGCTTAAGTTTCATTTAAAAAGTGCGGTGAAAATGAAGGCAGCGTCTTCAATTTTTGTCCCAAAGAAAGATTAGAGAGTTCTCTCCTCTCTCGAGCATTGATTTGAATATATCTTTTTTCAATTATGATATATTTGCGGATTCTATATATTGACATATGTATATAAATTTTTTAATGTTGATGTTGAGAATAGTTTTAGTCTTAAATATTCTAAAAAGTCAATTATTTTAAACACTTAAGTATTCATCTATAAACTTAGATTGTATTATATTTGTGTGAATTTTTATTTAGTTCGTTGAATAAAATTTTGTTCGAAAAAATGGCGACTTTTTAGGCAGAGCTGCGTGCCAAGAGGTCTCTCCGAGACTTGGTGTGGTGTGAAAGAAACTTTCTGAAACGCAAATTTGCACCACGTCTAACTTTTGCGAGAATGCGCGGACGCTCACGACGTCCGAGGTGTATCGACGTCCGAAAACTCGGTCCAGGTGAGAAAGTTATGGGGTGAACAGATAACTTTTTAAATATTCGCAAAAGTTTGCCAACGCGTAAATACCACGACGTAGAACGCGACGAGAGACGATGTTTTTTCGTTCGATTCGTGAAACGAAGGGCGAGTCTTATCGACATTCGGCGAACACCATTTTTCCTCTTTGATGCCCGGCAGGCACATGTTATCATTTCCACGTCGGCAAACGGTCAAAAAGGAGTGGTGCGACAGTGGGCGAAAATGGGTCGTCCGATAATTCGATTCCTCGAAAACACCGTTGCGATATGTATGGATTTGGGTTAACTTCGTTTCAGCGATTTCACAGTCACGGCGTGTAAGACTCTCTCGGTCGCGATGCTTCTAGACAATACAAAATTTATAAGTAAAAGTATCCCTTATTAAAAATTAATATATTTTTTTTAATAATCCCATACAGAAATATAAGCTACAATTTATAAGTACTGAAAGAAGCTTTGTTTGTTAAATATAAAAAGATATGTAAAAATGGGGGAGAGATTCCAATATGCATATCACGCATTATATAATTCTGAATTTATTCTAAATATATTTATATATTATATTTTAAATGTATCATATATTTTATGTATTTTTTATATTGTGTAAATTCATTGCTAATCTCGCATTTAAACTTTAATACGTAGCAACACAGCTTACCGTAATTCGTTCATATCTCGAAAGTAAACTTTTTCATTTGGGAGATTTATCGAAGTTTTAAATTATCGGCTGTCTCAATCATGTAAGCTGTATGTATAGCAATATACAATTTGGATGGGCGGATATAGATTATATAATATGATTACATATAAATACAATTTATAAAAATTAAAAATATTTAATTGTATAATCTTCGTGTGACTAAAACCAATAAGATTATACTTTGTAATACATGTGTGGCGTTCTCTAAGCACATAGAATACTTTATATTAAATTGAGAAGAACGTTTTATTTTTTAACTATATACAAAGTTTATTATTATATACATGTAAACATGATACACTATCTTATAGCAGCTATAATTCTGTTTGGTAAATTTGATAGTTAATGACTTAACATTGTTGTTGTATGATCTATATATTCTCATACATCTCATTTTATCTTATTGCTTTGGAAACATTTGAGTGTCGATATTAACATATACATTAAATATATCAAACTGAGTCTATTCCATTCGACATTCCACGATATTCTGTCAGTATAACATAGAAGTACGTGATGTCTTTTTTGTATAGCACTAAAATAAGCGTGAAAGAATTACATGAACATTGGTGGAACGTAGTCGATAATCCGATTCTAGAAAAACGTACGTCTCGAAGTGCCATGGATTTGGGTCACTGGTTCGAGGCCTGTTGAATGCCAGATCGTTTCGCCGATTTCGCTATTGCCTCGCGGATTATGATCTTTACTAGAATCACTTGACTAACGATGGGAAATATTTCAAATGCTGGACCATTTGAAATATTTGAATATTGAAACTGAAAAAAGAGATGAAGAATCAAGGATCAAATCGGTGGATTTGTTTTGTTCGTAATTTTTTTTGTCCCATGAAAACAAGACTGCTAATTTCGCAAAATTCGATCAATTAAATCAATTTCAAGGATTCGTAAATATCTTCGAAAATTCAAGTCATTCTGAATTTCCCTTTGAGCAAATTATGTG